AGACTGATACCAACAGGCCTTGTAATGAGAGACAGACAGACAGAGGAATACAGAGGGCGGTCAAGCTGCTTAGGCCTCACACAACACTGACCGGCTCTGTCCTGCAGCATATGTGACAGTCGGTGTCAGCTCCAAACACGCAAGACACAGTAGCATGATTGCTTCTGTAAATTATTTGAGAGGATCAGTTTGTCTCATCACAATCGCTCACCTAATTCCAGGTTGTACAAGGTGAATCTTGAAGTCTATCAAATGCATGTTTGTTGTGAGGCATGACTAACAAATCCGGCTCCAGCATGAAAGAACATGACTTTATCTCTGCAAACAATCTAAGAAGGAACATGTTCTGTCAAAACTGGAAACTGAAAACATGGCATGACACACCTGAGGTAATTGCAGGGTTCTCCCATTGTGGGAAAGTTTACAAAATCTTGGAAAAACTAAAAGTGCACCAATCACATCAAGAGGGCTGATGGAAAAAGAGACAGTTGCATTTTATCATGCAAAGCAGTAGAAGCAGCCAAGGTTTATGCTGCAGTAGTGCACAGCAAGAGTGTGTCAGACATTACTGGCAAAGGGGTCTGTCACATAAGAGAGGAAGACGCAGCACAGGTAGGAAGAGAGAGTAGAGAAGGTAAATGGCTCAAGAGAGAATGAATGTCCTCTGTTTACTGATATAGACAAGAGTGTGTGAAACTAAAAAGCAGGAAAAACTATTTCACAAACACTCAGACATTTGTTCACAAATAGGACTTTTCTCACCATGTTTGCCTTACAACAAACATATGTATTCTGGTAATAGTTGTCTATGTTGCCAGTATTTATTGTTTTTTTTTCCAGAGCACACATGAGAGCCCCCACTTTCCCTCTTGTTCACACAGTGAGTGAGCTATGTGTGTACTGACCACAGGCGACTAATGGTATCACTCCTGCATAATGTCGCACATCTAGCATACAGCTCCCTAGACTCAGGCACATAGCAGGAACGCTGCAAATCTGAGTATATCACCATTAGGTGGCAGACAGTTAGGACTATTGATTACCATTGCACAACTGCTCCCCCAGCTGCTTCATACACTGTATACACCAACTCACCGTTTACAACAATAAACACCTCACACACAATTCTACATGAAGTAAAGATGGTGAAGTAGTATGCTGTGTTTTAATGACATGCTTTGCCAGCAAAACAAAATTCAAAACTGATGACGCCATCTTGGAGCTAATAGTGTGCGCAGCATGCCTTAAGTGTGGAAAAACAGAGGGATGGCTCAGCTGAGGGCTCTGGCCTACTACAAGTTTCTTTGCTCTCCAACAATAAACAAAGAGGCTCTGGCCAGTGGCTGCCTTCAGGAAGACACACACATTGTTGAGGGAGCAGCACCGTGCACTTGACTGTGAAACATAGCTGAGAACTTTCTATATGGCCAGTGGATGTGTTATACTCTATGTTATAACCTAGGAAATGTTATTTGTTTCTGGGTGTTTTAAGGGACAGAAGTTGAAACAACATCACAGCCATATTGAAAATCAGAATGGGCGACAACAGCCACAATCTCCCCTTTATGCCTCTGCGACAGATCCCTGCTGTGGTATTTACATGTTTCATGGAGGAATTAATTACAAGCTGCGTGAACAGTGGCCTCGTATGCAGTCACATTCTCGGCCCACTGAAAGCTTCAATGAGCACTTGAACCCAGTCATACAGCCATACATTGACTGTCACAGCCCACATATCCAAGGGCTGGGCCAGACGGGTGGCCAGGGGTGGCACAGGACCCATGGGTCAGAGCCTGTGCATGGAGTGACTTTTGGAAAGTCATGCAAACTGTGACAGAGAGATGCAAAATGATCACAAAGAGACAAAACAATATCACAACAAGACACAAAACAACCACAGAAGAGGATTAGAAAGAGATGCAAACTGACCGCTATTTCATTGTAGGTATCTGTTACAAGGTACACTTTACATGTTTATGTCCAAGGACCTGTTGACACTAACACAAAAGAAAGTTTGTTCAATTCTCCTTACGCATGCTGATTTCTCAATATCCACACTTGTATCCATTTCTGCTTTCCTCCTCCCTCAGGCATCTCTGGCAGTGCACCAGAGTGAGAATGAATAAATAATATGAAGGTGTGGTGGGTGTCTGGGATCCTGACTCAGGATTCCATTTCCCTGACAGAGACCCTGGACGGTGTCCTTTTCAGTAACCTAGCAACTTCTTCCAGGAAAGCTGAAACAATCAGAAGGCGCACCAAACACCCGACACACTTGGATGCAACAAAAGGGTCGACTCCTTTTTCTCTGTTAGCTCTGTGGGAAAACGATACTAAAGAGGTGCACTGCGGGTCCTCATCACCCAGATGTTCTGAAGCGGATGGCATTCAGCATTATGTCACTGTCACTGGACACCATGTGTCTGAACTGTGAAATCGAAGTCACTTCTTTTCTCTTGTAAGGGGGCATGATGTTCTCTCAGTGCATATCTAGAAAATGGGTGCCCTCAATGATACACCAAATACTTACACCTTGATTAGGCAGCAAATAAGACACTTAGAACAAGTGAAAGTGAAACTGTTACCAAAGCTGACAAAGTACATTAAATGTGTGATGAAATGGAGGCTAAACATAGTTCAAAGAGGTTTTTTGCACATATATTGCTAACTACAGCTTTACAAATTCACTCTCATACCCTCAGTCATTCAGTCCAAACACTCTCTGGTGCTTTCTTTCTTCATAACTTGACCTGCAGCTTTTAACCCTCAAAACCCAGGCTCCTAACAGCTGCACGAGGATGAAAGTGAGGGATTTCAAGGACCTTCATGGCAATTTATCAAAGATTTTAAAAACGCACGAAATAGTTTTACAAGCTAAATATAAGTGTAAGCAACTTTCTATATTGAGCTGTATATGAGGATCTCTACCTAAAATTGTACAAAACCACTTAATTCCGTTCTCTCTCTGTCACATACACTCTCATTTACTCACTCTAAATAAGTCAGGTCAGGGG